CACAGTCGTTACGTAAAGGCATAAGTCGTAAACAAGTACATACAAAAACCGGCGGGCCTATAACAAACACGATGACTAATAAACACGATGACAAGCAAGGGCAGAAGCGATAGGTTGAGCGACCGCGGACAACGAGAAGCCGGGACTTGTCCGGCTGTCTCCGTGTAGACTAGACGTGCGTTCTCGGTATCTCGGTTCTTGGAATAAAGCACATTTTCAGCTGAATTTCGGAAAAGATTCTGTTTCTCGTCCAATTTCTACCGATCCTTGATCCGCCCACGAAGCGTTACTCGATTTACGAAGAGATATACGGATTAATTCCTCGCCGCGCAAAGTCGAGCACTAAAGTGGTGACCCGACGACGTGATCGCGACGCGATTTCTTGTTTTTTACAAAAACTTTGATCAATTCTTTCGTTTTAACGACGAACTGGAAGTGTTCGGTGGAAGCGCGCGGAACAGGAAATTCGGGTCAAGTGACCGTGACATCTGTGTGGCGAAGCGAAATAGGAAGACATGCCGAGCCTCTATGACGACATCCCGGCATCGGGACAGCAACGGGCGCAAGCGGAGCAGGAGAGACAATTCGAACAGCAACCCGTGGTGGTGCAACAGCCGCTGGGAGCGGATCTGGACCAGCCGGTAGGACTTTTCGCGCTCGGAGCCGAGGTGAGCCGTGTTGGCCTCCGTATGCCGGAGTACTCCCGCCGACCCGAAACTCTGGTTTAATATCGTTGACCGGAGTTTCCAGGCTGCCGGCATTGTGGTCGATTCCACAAAATTCGGGTATGCGCTAACCGCGATCGTGCCGCGTTACACCACGGAAGTGCGCGATATTATTACGAATCCGCCCGCGGAGCGCGCGTACGAGACGCTCAAGGCAGAATTGATTAAACGCCTTAGCCTCTCCCAGGAGCATAAGACGCGGAGGCTGCTGGAGCACGAGGAGATCGGAGACCGAAAACCGTCTCAATTTTTGCGACACCTCCGCAGTCTCGCCGGGAGCGTGGTCGAGGACAAGGTGTTGCGCACGGTATGGTTGTCTCGGCTGCCCGCGTACATTCAGTCGCATTTAGTGACGCGAACGGAGGACACAGTCGATCAACTCGCGGATATCGCCGATACAATTGTGGAGGCCACCCGAGCTCCGGCTTTTCAAGTCGCGGAGACGGCGCGACAGCCGGCACCCCGAGTCGCAATGCCGGAAAGCGCAGTCTCAATTGAGGCAAGGCTCAATTTACAAATGACGTAGATGCGACTGACGTTGCAGAAGGAGATGGCGAATCAAAATTAACAGTTCCGTACCGTATGTGTAAATCGTTGTGCTGTTTGCCGCCGAAAGTTTATACGTCGATCTTTGTCGCGGTCCGCGCACCATCCTTCGAGGGTATACGCAGAGATCGGCGCCCGTGTCGATTAGAAAACTTGCTCTCGTGCTCCTATCCGTTACGAACAGGCGACGCGTCGGATGGCCTATATCGACTTGTCGCCATACAACGATAGGGCCACTGCAATTTCCCCTGTCTGCTGCATGGAACA